GGCTTAATTGATATGTATATAAATAGGCCTGAAGAAATGAAAAATATTTGTTTGGCTGATTTTGCTTCATTGTATAATGTATCAAAAAAACAAACAAACAACGTTCAGATTACGGAAAATTCTGATGATGAAGATGTCATTGACAATGAAATTGATGAAAAAAGTGTTGCTCTGAAGATGAAAAATGGAAAAGGATGGATTAAAAAAAGAACAAAGAAAAAAATAATAAGATTCAGAAACTTTAAGCTACATCAAGATCCTGAAAATTATTACAGAGAGCAGCTGATGCTATTTCTACCATGGAGTAATGAGGAAGAGGATCTTATTTATATAAATCATCAAGAGATATTTGAATTACATAAAGATTTGATTCGACAAAAAAGATCTGAATATGTTCATCGTGAAGCTAATGAATTCGAACAAGCTTTTGAAGAGCAAACAGAAAGAGGAAATGACGATGATATTGATGATACAAATATTGAATATGATCAAGATAAAAATGAATTTCTTATCTATGAAACAGGAAATAATGAAGGCGATATCTTTGTTGAAATGGGAATAAATACTCGAACTGAAAAAATCGAACATTTTAATGTTCCCAAAATGATACCAGATGCTGATTATCAGCGATTGACGAGAAGTCTCAATAGCAGTCAAAGGAAATACACTTTAAATGTGATGAATTTGATTAAAGACGGTGATAAGCAATTTTTTCATTTCATTAATGGAGGTGCAGGTGTTGGCAAAAGTACTTTGATCAAAGTAGTATATCAGTCGATATTGAGATTTTACAATTCTCTTCCAGGATCTAATCCAGAAACTATTCGTGTCGCAATATGCGCGCCAACTGGCAAAGCAGCAGCATTAATTGACGGAATGACTTTGCATTCATTTCTAAGTTTACCAGTTAATCAATGCAAACATAAACTTGTTAAACTAGACAGCAATGTTTCAAATAGAATTGGAGTAAAATTGAAAGACTTGCAATTACTAATAATAGATGAAATATCAATGGTTGGTTTTACAATGTTTCAGCAGGTCGATGCTCGCCTGCAGCAAATAATGAAGTCAAAAGAACCATTTGGTGGAATATCAGTTATAGTTTTGGGCGATTTCAATCAATTAAGACCAGTTGGCGATAAATACATCTTCCAATTTAACAATTCATATAATGCTTTAGTGGATAATCCATTATGGTCACTTTTTGAATTGTTCGAATTGACAGAAATAATGAGACAAAAAGATGATAAAATTTTTGCCATTGCATTAAGTAATATAGCAAAAGGAATGATGACACTTGAAGATATTAATTTATTAAAATCACGAATTGTTTCAAATGAAAATTTGGAAATCATGGGAGATGCAATAAGAGTATTTAGAAGTAATGCTGAAGTTGATGCATATAATACAAAAGTATTGGCCAGTCTTAATACCGAAGGTGCAATCGCTAATGCTTATGATTTTTGTATTGGTGATGGACTTGCATCAATAAGAGAAAAAGTTCTAAACAACGTAAAGAATCTGAAAACAACTGAAACTTACGGTTTACCACTTAAAATTGATTTGAAAGTGGGCGCTAAGTATATGATGACAGTGAATATTGACACTGAAGATGGATTAGTAAATGGCGCCTGTGGAAAATTGATAATGATTGATTATGGAAAGCTTCAAAAGACTAATGAGACAGTACCATGTAGACTATGGATTAAATTTAATGAAGAGAAAACTGGAAGAAAAACCAGAGCTAATTTTCAAAATGTAATGCGAAATAGAAATATTGATCCCAGTCTCACACCAATTGAACCAGTAACACGGCAAATAAACACACGGTCAACAAATTTCAAAGTAGAACGGAAACAGTTTCCTCTAGTTCCTTCTGAAGCCATGACTATATATAAAAGTCAAGGTGGTACTTATGAAAAAGTCGTTGTCAATCTAAAAAAAGGGATGACACGATCTGAATTATATGTCTCTTGTAGTCGTGCAACAAAATCAAGTGGTTTATATTTAATTGGCGACTTCGTTCCACCAAAACCACCTGAACGTAATGATGCAGTGGCGACGATGTTCAAAAGCATGAGATCCGAACGAATGCTGAAATTTTCACTTGAATTTCCTGAAGAATCTCAAGGAGAAAGATTTTTCGTGATGTTTCATAATGTACAATCATTGAATAAACATATTTTGGATATCAGATCTGACAAAACATTGTTGTGTGCTTCTATGATAAGTCTTGTTGAAACATGGACAAAACCTACTGATTCTTTGGAAATTGAAGGTTTTAAAGTAATTCACAGACGTGATTGTAATGATACACGAAAACCATTCGGTCAAATAACTTACTTAAAAAATGATTTGAAGTATGAAAATATCACCGAAAGATGTGAATATTCAGGGAAAGACCATATTGAATATTGCTCAATAAAAATTGATGATATTTGTATTATTTCCGTTTACAATTCACCAAATTCATCATTTGATGTTTTAAAACGACATATTAATGAAGTTATATCTATTTCAAAAAGATTCTGTGAAGATATAATTGTTGTTGGTGATTTCAATATAAATTTGAAGATAAAAACCAACCACAAATTCATTGAATATATGGAGTCATTCGGGTTGACTCTGATTAATAAATTAAATAAAAGTTCAACTAATGCTAAAACACAGATTGACTATTGCTTCACTAATATGAATGACTTAAAATCTGATTATTTTGAAAGCCTCACAAGTTTCCATAAACCAATATGGATAAGAAAACATGGAATTTTGACTGAAGTTCATGTTGATGAAATTAAACAAATTCGTACAGATATACCTTTTAATCTGAAAGATCTTAAAATTTATGACCAGTCTGATATGATGGTAGTTGACGAAGAATTCTCTTTCGATCGTTATGAAATAGTTGATGAAAACGAACAAATCGATATAGATACGACTTATAATCTTGAAGACCTTCACGCCAGTGAACAATCTAATATGATGGAAATCGATGAACAATCTTCTTTCGAAAATTATGAAATCATTGATTCAACCTCAAGAAAGATTCTTGACCACTTTCTTCTTGTACTTGATTTTAATAATACTACAGACACTGATCAAATTTCAAGTCAAGCACAAATAATCAATGACTTAATTGAAAAATCACCATTTATAACTGTGCATAATAAAGACCAATCCGTCCGATTAAAGTCGAAAACAGAATATTCTGTTCAAGCGTTCGATTCTGTTTATGCTAGAACATGCACGACTGCAGATGGCAACTGTTTATATAGTTCTCTTTCGATCTTAAATATTGGATCTGAAAAACTAACACATTCGATGAGATTGTTGGCAGTCAATGCAATGATTAATAATAGCGATTATTTCCAAACACTTTGTAAAGTATTGCACTATTCATTTGAAGAACAGTTGAAAAGAACTGCTATAGATACAATATGGGGTGGAGAAGTTCAAATTCAAGCGCTTTCGATAGCTCTATCCCATCCGATCTATTCATATATTCAGTTTAACATTGATCCAGCAAATAGACATTATATTTCATTGGATATTAGTTTACAGGAATTAATCGATCGATTTAATAAACGGACAGCAGGTGGTCATTTAAAATATATAGGATACAAATCCGATATGAATAAATTAGGATTTTGTGTTTATTACAACGGTACCCATTATGATGCTCTCTTGCCTTTTCAAGATAATCCTCAACAATTTGTACCGCACTATGACTTAATCAACATGAGTTTATAATATGAAATAAGCTTTAACTAGAAAAAAAACAAATTTTTTTCGTTTATGCAAGCAAATAAAGTCTTCGGAACTAACTCCTCGCCGCGTCCTATGGGACAAAAAGAGGGCATCCGCAGGGCCTAAGGGGCAGTTCCTTAGTGCGCTCAAGGATGAATTTTTTTGGACAGCTTGATAAAAAATTAAACATAATTGTTGACAGATTGATCGTGATCAAACTATTTAAAAGAATCGATCGGCAATGTCAGTACACATGAGTTTGTCATAGTTTTGGGAAGAATAACATTGAGGAAATCCGAAACGCAGCATACTTACCCCTTTGATTGTCCTCATTTTGTAGTTCCAGACAAATTCTGTCAATTCCTAAACATAATTATACAGGTTCTATGGAAAAAAAGTGAAGAAAATTGAGTCCTCACATTATAGGACTCGAGGACCTAAGAGCCACCCTCACAATATAGGACTTGAGGACCTCAGGGTACCCTTATAGTATAGAACTTGAGGTCCTAAAGATACCCCTATAATATAGGACTTGAGGACTAAAGGGTACCCCTATAATATAGGACTTGAGGAAGTAACGATACCTCCTTAATATAGGACTTGAGGACCTAAAGGTCCCTCTATAATATAGGACTTCAGAACCTAAGGGTACCCTTATAATATAAGACTTGAGGACGTAATGATACCTCCTTAATATAGGACTTCAGGACCTAAGGGCACCCTCACAATATAGGACTTGAGGACCTAAAGGCACCCCTATAATATAGGACTTAAAGACGTAAAGGTACTTAAACACGCCCCCCCTCCTCGGAATAGGTCAATATTGGTATAGGAAAAAGTGAATGAGACAGATGAGTCACCCTAGAATGTGTGGACATCAAAATTGTCCTGGAAAACCCTTCCAGTAAACACTTAATTTCTATTGGCTATTTCTCAGCCAATACGATTTGGAGGCAAATACAGCTCAGATTTGAACTCTTCATCTTGATTTACCCTAAGAAACTCGTTTTTCCTATAACTTGATTTCTATTGGTCATTGCTCAACCAATGGGATTTCGAGGCGAATGGAACATAGATTCGAGTTCTTCATTCTAGAAAATCTCGAACTATCATCTCTGTGATGGGAAGATAGAGCTCTAATTGTGGATCACATAGAGCGTGGACAAAAACAGAACCGAATTCCGATTAATTATCGTTGCAATAGGCGAGTTAGCTTTCTTGTTTCTTTATGTTTTATATAGCATTTTGTAGCTCGTGAAATTCTCTATCGAATGGTATATAATAGTTGGGGTTTTAATTGACTATGATAGGAAAAGTCTTTTACGAACGCGGCGATGGGTCGATTTTTCCATAGGAAGCTATAGGGAAAAATGGGTATTTTTGCAATAACTCAGGAACGGCTCGGCCGATCCTTCTCATCTTCGAACTCGACCGAGATATTGTAAAGACTGAACTGTATAGAAAATTTCATCGCGATCGGACTCTCCTTTCGAAAGTTATCGTGTAAACGGCCGGCCGGACGGACGGACGGACGGCCGGACGGACATACTGACCGATTCTAGAGTGTACTCACTTTTTGAGTACACAAAAATAATACAGTAAAACCTCTAGTAGTGAGCGCCTCTCTATAGTGAAAACCTCGTTATTATTAGTGTTTTTCACGAGTCCGGAAAGACGATTTTTGCTGAAAATGGACCTTCCGAAGGCGAACCTCTGGTTATTAGGAACATTTTTCAATAGTCTCGATCGTGCTCACTTTAGAGAGACTTCATGGTAGTAATGTAGCAACCTTATTATTGATTCCCGCATGTTGTAAATTAAACAATAAAACATATTTGAGATTTCCTTTTGTTAATAAAAAAATTCGGAGTGTCTCGGAGTTTTTCGGAGTTTTTCGGAGTTGGAATCGGAGTCAAAAAATAAAAATTTTCGGAATCGGAGTCGGAGTCGGAGCCGTAAAGAAGAAATTTTTCGGAGTCGGAGTCGGGTTTCGGAATAAAAAAACCTGACTCCGCAGGTATCTATTCCTGATATAAACCATGAATATGATGAAATTGTTTTAACGAGTTCTATTATTGATGAAAGAATTTTTTTAGAATTATTTTTCAGTATAATCATATATGACTTGATTTTTCAGTTAATCAACATTTATAATTGTGTTGAGATTTTATCGATATATAATCGATATTATAGAATAGAATAAAATGAAAATGATATCAATAATTTGATTGAAAATGAATAATAGATTTAAAAGAAAAAATATTCAATTAGAAATCAAAAGATATTTCCGATAGATGGTTTTCGTGACGATCAATAATCATTTATAAATAATTTAAATCTTGAAAAGTTATTTCAATTAATCTATTTTAGATTTTTATTATTCTGATAAATCAGATATATCCTCGAAATTATATTTTAGAGAGAGACGATTATCATCACTAGTTTTTTGTTATTAACTTAAACAAATAAATATTTATTTTTATATAAGACATTCATTTTTTTAAATATTTTGTTAAAATAAAGACAACTTAATTAAAGTTAAAAGGAATTTTTGTTTCTTGTTGAAGATCTATTCTCTTTAAATTAGAATAAATTGAATAATATTTGTTTATGATATTCACGCTTATCTAAAATGATGATTATTTTAATGATATATAATATTTAAAACGTTATCAATAATTGAATAAAGACTAAAAAAAGAACCAAATTTTTCTTTTATTGTGAAATATATCAGTGAGTATTTATTTAATCGTCGATATGATGTAATAGAAAATATAAATAAAATAACTGCTAATTTCGATGTGTGTTTTTTTTCTTGTAAGACAAAATATTGGCAATCTTTAAAAAAATTTCTTTTTTAATCAACATTGAAAATACTTTAGCATACCGTTTTATTATCATAAGCATCAATATAATGTATTAATAACATATCGTTGTAAGACAATTTATTGTTGATCTGAAAAAGTAGAATTTTTTTTCCAAATTATATTATATATATATTTGATTTTACCATTTTATTGTAACATATAACAAATTGAACTGTTAACAAGATTGTTATATTTTTGGCAAATCAGTGCTAATCGAAAAAACAAAATTTAGTAACCCATTTAATTAATATGACAAATATTTGAGTTACCAGTTTATCATGAAAATTACAGAACCAACATTTAAACAGAATTTTGGTACAAGTGAAAATCATTAATTATCAGCAATAAAATTTTTTTTTTCCAATTAATATTTCAAATATTTTTACCAATCATTGTAATATGAAAAGTATTGAGATAACTTATTAATAAATTCTCGAAGTGAAACAAATGATTGAATATTAAGTAGTTTTATAAATGTGTTAATATTATATGTCTCATAACATAATTGATTAGTTGTTGGCTGAACAGAAAAGTATTCGTGAGATGATAGATGACATTACGAAATTGTTTTTATAATAAATAAAATACAACATAATGAAAAGTTAAATAAAAGTATACATAAAAAAAAAGTAAATAAACATAAAAGAATAACACATAGATGAACCCAGTAGAGTTTAAGTACACAGATAATTAGAAAATATATAAAGAAAGGAAAAAAATATTATAAAAAACAAAAAAAATAAAATTAATCAAGTAAATAAAATATGTTCAGACGAAAGAAAGGCTGGGCTCCCATCAATACAAACAACACTATCGTAATGTGGCATATTTGGATCATAATAGAGATGTAATTGATGTTCAAGAAAGTCGGAGCCAGGAATAAGTATAGGTTTTTTTTTGAATTCATGAACAATTATATTTTTATTGATGATAACTGCTGTAGATGAAAGTGCGAGATGGTCAGCATATGTTCCATCTTTACTCATTTCTTCAATATAATTTTCTATTGTTGAATACATTTCATCAATAAATGATGCAAAATCGTTCATATTTTGAATTAAATAGTTTATTGTTTCAGATCTAATATTTAAATGATCGTCTTCGTGTCTATATAGTTGATGTGAAATTGCACGGAAGAAACAATTACCATCTGCTAATATATTAATTCTTTTTAAACCTATACTAGAAAGTTGTTCAGTAAAACTAAATGTGGCTCTTCTTTTTTCTAAGCAATTTTCTTTTCTTATATTAGTATAATTACGAAGAAATAATCTTTGTTTTTCTTTTAAAAAATTATTACAGGTATTGACAGTTGTTAAAACTTTTATTTTTTTAAATATGTGATTTGATTTTACTGTTGTATTTTTTTTTCTTTTATTTGTTTCTTTAGAAATTTCCAGGAATGATAATGAAGTAGGTAAACAGGTATCTGTATCCATCTGTTCATCATTATTGAACTCAATCTCTTTGTTTGATTCTTTTTTCTTATTTTCTATATCAATGGAACAAATTAATGCATCATGAAAGCTATAAAATATTCCTGTCACATCTCGATATTGAACTTTATTTAGTATAAAATTAGAATAAACACAATCAAGGCTTGTTAAACTATTCGTGGTAGGCATATCTTTAAACATATTTACAAAACCTAAATTTTCTAATTTTGTTTCAATAGGTTTTGATTTATTTTCAAGACTATCTTCATTAAAATCGCCAATAAGAAGAATATTTTTGTCAATATTAATTTGTTTTAAATGTTCAATTAAATTTACAACAAATTCTTTTTTATTTTGCTGTGGTGATCGATAACATACAATAATAACTATGTTACTTTTTTCTATTTCAAAAGTAATACATTCAAGATTTACATGTGCATATGAATCAATTTTTTTTATAGGAATAGTTTCTCGAAAATATATTGCAACACCACCACCTTTTTGTGAATGAAGTAAATGATTTGATACAAATGAACATGCTCGTGTTTTATGAACAAGATTATAACCATTAATTTGAAGATGATCCAATCGAGTATCATCTTTCAACCATGTTTCTGCGAGACAAATCAAATCTGCTTGATGTAATAAATGGTAACTAGAAAATGCTTTAAAATTACATTTTAATCCTTCAATATTGTGAAACAATATATTCAAGAATTGTGAAGATTCTTGAAATATTAATTGTTTTTTTCTCATTATTTTCATTTGAGAAAGAACTCTATCAACATTTTCGTTACAGTAGAATTTGTCAAAGTGTAAATCAATAAGAAACAGTCCTTCTAGGATACGAACACGTGATAATGCTGTATATCCCATTCCACTTCCAAAAAAATCTTTCGTACTAATAACAACTTGATCAACAGTAAATCCTTGAGCTTTATGTATAGTCATTGCCCAGCTAAGACGTAAAGGAAATTGTTTTGTACCTTTTTTTGATTGTGAATCATATTCTAGTCGATCAATAGTGTTACTTTCTCGCATCACACATATTGTATCTCGCCCATGACAATGTGGACAACTAACTCTATGAAGACGTCCAACTTTAGATGAATCACATTTAATTATTATATGAGAAACATCTTTATTATTATTTTCTACAAATTCTACAATATGACCTGTGATACCATTTGCTAATCCATCATTTACACAAATATTTTTCGTTATCATCACACGAGCATTTTTAGCAAGTCGTAATGGCTTACTATTTTTTTTTGTTTCTGTTCTTCCGTTCGATTTTATTTCTTTATCATTATTATTAACTTCATAGAATATTCGAATATTCGTGCAAATTTTCTCAATCATTTCTTCGTTATGTGCATCAACCTGAGCATTTCTAGCAAAAAGATGCAATGCTTCTGGATGATATTCTTTATTCAAATAACGTTGATGACATTTTTCAAGCACATCACGATCTTCTTTACTCATATCTTCTTTTTTTTTAATTTTTCGAATACGATTAAGCATTTGTGAGAAAAAAATGTTTGTTTTTTGTCTTTCGTTGATTTTAAGTTCAACATATTCAAAATGATCAGACCAAAGTAAAGAAGAATAAATACTTGAAGATGCTACAGGTGAGCACTGATAAAAGTCACCAATAGCAATTATGCCAACATTACCAAAAATAGCTGTATTCGAATGTATACCCATGATTTGAGTAAGACGAGAATGCATAGCACCCCATAAACCGGCTTGTATAAGAGAAACCTCATCAACAAATAATAATTTAAGTGTGCCCAACTTACAACGATAACTATTTAATTTATCGCAAGATAAATTATCACTTAAAGTATTATTTTGAGTTCCAATCCCGAATGCACTATGAATAGTAACTCCGCCAACATTGACAGCTGCTGCACCTGTGAAAGCTGTAATCAATGTATGAATTTCATCAATATTTTCATCAGGTTCTAAGTGTTTTTTTCGAGAAAAAATCTTTGTTGCTTCGTAATGAAGACATTTCAAAAGGTGACTTTTACCTGTGCCTGCTCCTCCCGTAATAAACAAACGAAGAGGCTCGACATCAGGATTATGTAATCGATTTACACACCATTCTCGAACATGATAAAATATTTCTTGTTGTTCTTTGTTCATCGATTCTAACAATGGTCTCATTTCATCTGTCGTAGAATAAGTTTGTTTTAAATCAATAAACGTTTTTTTATTTTTACTTTTATGAATTACATTGAAATCAGGATTATCTTCTTGTTCAATTTCTCTTGACCACATACTATCTTTTTCTCTATTAGCAACAATTTCAGCCCATTCGTCGTCTTTCATATTCAATGATAATTCATTGAATAGTGATTCTGTTTCACCTGTTTCTTTGACATGAGCTTCATATTTTCTTTGGTTTTCATGCACGATATCTTTTACTTTTCTTATACATTGTTGTCGAGCATCAAAAACTTCACCAATTTGATAAAATAATTCATAAGGTTTTTTCAATTCATTTCGACTTCTTATCGGTAAATAGAGAGAAAGTAGATTTTCAAAATAATTTTCTCTATCTGTTTCTCTATTGAAATATGGATACCGAATAATAGCACTACGATTGCAACGTTTTTTAATAGCAAAATTCAATGTTTTTAATCGTTTAATTGGAGTCTTTGGATTTTTAATGTTTTTATTAATCGATATGATTTCATATTCAGAAGCAAAATCTGCCATACAAATATCGAATTCCGGTTCTTCTGGTCTATCAAAATATTTGTCAGCTAAGTTAGACATATATATATTTTCGTCATCTGGATCCAATTCTTTTAATATATTTTGTGATTTTAAAAATTTACAACTATTTGAATGTGCTGGTACAAAAACAAAACCTCGACTTGAATATGTTAGTGGCATTTTAGTTGCACGGTAAATAGCCTCCTGTACACTGACTTGTCGATGATTAAAAAATGTACCTGTTAATTTTTTCATTTCTTCTCGAACGGACATATTTCCTTCACGACATTCTTTATGAGTTGCTTCTAATAATAAACTCATTTCCCGTTCTGGTTTTGTTGTATATGACATAAGATATTTTGCACAGGCATATGGATCAAGTACGAATTGAATATCCATATTAGCATTCCATGCTCTCAATATTTCTTCATTATATTGATTAATCCATCGTGCATTAGGTTCTCTTTTATGAATCATGGTCGTTCTAGTATGAACAACACGAAGAGCACATTCGTAATCCTCATAGGTCCAATTATACTTTGTTAGAAGATCATCAAAATCCGACCATGACAATATTTTTTCTTTTTCTAATTTATTCATCGTTGCATTCATTTCAGTAAGAATTTCTTTCATTTTTTTAAACTTTTGTTTATCATCATCATTCTCAGCTTTTAATGGTTCACAAATGAATGTCCGTCGAGCAACAGGCCGAGGAAATCCAAAACGACACAACATTTTATACAATTTTAAACAAGACTTTGAATGATTACGAGAATGACTCTGTAATTCTTTGACAAGATAGTGTAATATTGGATCCTCTTCTAATGATGGGAATCGTGTCGTAATATATTTGTCACAAAATTTAACGATTTCCTCACGAGTTTTTTCATCGGTGTGCAATCCAATGTAAACAGGTGCACCTTTTATCCAAAGTGGCATGTGAGAATGTGGTGAACCTCGCATTTGCATTTCTATACGAGCAAACCAGTCTTCTACAATGCCTAGACACGATGCTCCATTTTTAATAAATAAATTCATAAATGTATTAAATCGTTTTTCAAACAAACGTGCAGCTAGAACAGGATTCGCACGTAAAAGTTTTGTTTTTTCTTCAAATGTATATGATTCTTTTATTGGAGCTCCAGTGTGACGTACAAAAGTATCAGTGAATTCTTTCCAACGTAGATCAGCACATGATAGTGTAAGAAAAAAGGTTGGAAAACCTAGTTGACGTGTCATTCCAAATAAGTCTTTTAAACGTTTATACCAATATTGTGGACTACCTCGAACACATTGCAAATGACGATATATCATATCTTTATTCATAAGAAATTTCATTTGCGTTTCATCTAAGCTTTGTTTAGCATTCATTGGTAATTTTTTTCGGGAAGCAATATTGATTCCGGAGTATACTTGTTTCAAGTCACCTAAATACTGTAGATAAAAGATGTAACTTGAATCTGAAGCAAAGCGAGAATCTGATGAAAATAAACGTGCTTTACAATATTCTTTCCATCTAAGAATTGTTTGACGATCTTCGTCATATGAGCCTTGACCATCTGGAAATAAATGAGGAAAGGCTAATGCTTCAATTGTTTTATCTGTTAATAATGAACTTAATTTATTTTTTTCAGCTGGTGCTACTACACATGGCTCTTTGTCAAAGACTAAAAAATCATTAAAATCACATGGTTGAGTACATGAATCTGTACCAATATTATATTTAGTACGAATGTCTTTATCATCTTCATTGATTTCTTCATCACTGTCAATGGTATTATCAATATCACCCAAAGCTAATCTTTTTAAACGATTTTCATTAGATATTTCTGTTTCTTCAATGACATTTCCTTCTTCATTGATGTCAACATCCATTGATTCAACTACTAACTCAATGTTATTGTCATAGTCTTTTTCTTGATCAGATGTAAGATAATTTTCATGAATATTATTTATCTTTATATTTTTATATCCTGGATGCATCTTAGTTAAAACAAATAGTGCATCTCTTACATCATTTGGATTTATTAATTGTTCTTCCCATACAGCTTTGTATTTTAGTCGTCGTTTCAGTTGTAATCGAACCATCATCGACTTATCAACTGGACGAGGTAATGTAGTTACAGTGTCTTCTACATCTGATGGCACACAATGAAGTGGCCCTTTAGTACCTTTTTGTGACAGTCTACTCGATAATTTTCCTGATGTTAAATTTACAATTTTCATAAAAGGTAATCGTAAAGCAATCAAATGTTTTTCAAGATTATTTAATCTTTTTAATTCAGATGGAATTTCACAAACTTTCAATCTATTCACGACTGCTCGGCTTGGCATTTGTCGTTTCTTTATTTTGTCTGAACATGATTTACAAATCCATTTTTGTTCTCTTGACGATGAATACATAAAGTAAGATTGAATATGTTTTTTTATTTCATATGACATGCTTTCTTTTATGTATTTTTGTTCAACGAATGGTATCACTTGGTTACGAAAAAGTGCTAATTGACATGATATACAAACATAATCAGGTCCTTCTCGAATAACTTGTCGAAATCTATTCAAGTTATTCATATATAAATTTTTATGTTTAATTGCACATTTATGGCTTTGAATAACAGTATATTTTTTTAAAATACGTCTACGCTGATTATAAAGACGTCTTGAATTTTTTCTTATCAATGTATTGTTATTTTGATACCAATTCAAAGCACTGTGAATCATTTTCAATCGTATCGATTTATTAGATTTATATTTCTTCGAAACTTGCATGTTCATACGTGCTTT